CCAAAATGAAACACCAAAATCCGTTTCAAAAGAAATTATTAAAATGTATCATAAAACTCTTAAATATAATTATAAAACACAGAAATACGCTAAATGCTCTTGTAAAAATATCACCATCATCATCATTATCACCGAAATCCCTAACACAGGTTGGTTGTTGGATTGTCAGATGAATAAATTTTAGCACATAAAATGCAGTTATAACTTGTTAGTCCAGTTTCTTCATCTTGAACTTTATAAAAAAATTCACACACATCCGACTTGCGAGTTGTTGAATAGGGATTCTTCTTCAGTTGCTAAAGAAAAATCAGATAAATTATCGTCATTTTCATTTGAAATTACGCCGCCAGACATTTTGCAATATACAAAATAATGCAAAACGAAAATAATTTTACGCGACACGGCAATTAGATTGATCGTCCAAACCGATCTAAAAATCGCGACTTAGTTCGATTTGATCCTCAAATCAATATTTTTTTTTTTTCATCCATCTTTTTTTCATCCCTATGGGTTTTTTGAAGAAAAATAAATCTGGAAAGACCCCTAAGGCATCAATACCGATAAATCAATCTTGGATTAATATCTTTCAACATTATCTTTCTAATCATTCATCAGAAAAATTATTTGAAGGTGTTCAAAAAATCATAGATTTATTGCGCGATGAAGAAGCTAGTTGGGAAGGACAATTGCAATATATCAGATCCATAGGTGAGGTATTTTTTTTGAAATATAGTCTATTATTACGATTATTAATTTATTTTTTGTTATAACAGAAAAATCTTTACCATCAAAAAAGAGTAAATCTGGACAACAGTCTACAAACGAACCGTTGCCATCACACATTATAAATCAAATCGAATCAATTCTCGAACCTATAATATCTGGAATATATTTCTCTTCGATAGAAATTTTAACAAAACGACATTGTATCCCTATACTCGATTCATGTTATGTGATTTCAGAAAGAAATACATTTTGTAATCTTTTAATTCGGGATCGATCTAATAATAAAGATAATAAAATGTTTAAAGAATTTGGACAAGAATATTCTCGTTATATCACTCTTAATAGTTACCCCTTTCATTCATTCAGTCAAAAAGGCATGTCAATTTACATCACTTTGGATTTTCCATTAGGATTTTCAATTGTGGAAAATCAGCTGTTCGAAACTCTCCAGTTTCTTAATGAATGTTTGACTCTAATTATTCAAAATGTTAATAAAGAGAATGAAAATACTAAATCAAATACAACATCTGCATCATTAACGCTCTCAAAACATATGAGCGATGCACAACATGTGACCAAGACTTTATTAGCTCTACTTTCTAGATTTGACCAGAAATTGAGGCTTCGGTTTGAATCCATTGGAAATAATTTTACAACCAGTCATAACGATAAGGAAGAAGTTATTAATAAATTAGTTCGTGACTTGTTTAATGGATGTTTGGTAATTTGCTCTGATAATACTTATATTAAGGATGTAAAGCAGTTGGTTGGAATGTCTATTGCAGCAAATTTGAATTTGTTAGGTCCGCCACAGTTTGTCAGCGATCAAGTTGTTGCCATGTTTTTCGCAAAAGATATTAATGAAGAAGCGCAACAAAATAATTTGAAATTTATGAGTCATTTGGGTGTTCGAATACCAGATATTTTATTTAAAGAAATTAGCTGGAATGGTGATGATCCTCCAATGTTAGCGATTTGTCGCGGTTTATTGTCGAATTTGGCTAAAAAGGTTTTAATTTCTCCTTTATCCGAGAAATTTCAATTAAAAATCTCAATATTAAGGTTTGTGTATTTATATATACTTTCATCTCTTTTATTTAATAAAAAATAACCATCATTGACTCTTATTTTGTTTAGATTAAATGATTCAAATTCAAATCCAAAAACTCTTCATCATATACTCTTTCAAAGCATTGCGCATTTTTGCGATAAAGCTTTGAAGTCTCAAACAAAGGTTTTGGCATTTGAAACTATGGGATTATGGCTTCAGGAATCCGAAAATATTCTTAAGGATGACGATATTAGTGAATCAATCGTTCATGATAATAATTCAATATTTAATTCACATGTTTTAGAAAAATTGATGTCATATGTTTGGAATAATTGGGAGGATCCTGTTGATGCAATTCAATATAAGGTAATAAGGCTTAAAAGCAAGCTAAATTACATTTTATTTATATTTATATTCATGATTCATTTTAGGTTAAAACCATATTTGAGAAATTAATGGATGTTATGAGTCTTAAAAGTCAGCTCGAACAGTCTGAGGAAACATATAATCATTACCTTATAAATTTGCTCAAACAACTATTGTCCATGGATCAGTACCGCAAAGTGAAATACGCTTTGTTGTCGTCATTATTGCCTAGAATTGGAACAGATAAATTCTTATCAATGCAACCAGAGTTTGTTTCCCGTACTTTGGAAGTACTACATAATCTAGTTATTGCACCACGAGCTTCTGCATTGGTGGTCTCGTTCCTTGAATTACGTTTAGAGGAATCTCTCGCTTCAGGGCTTCGAGACGTAACTATCAAAAAGAGCGAGAAACGTGAGGAAATAGTAAACAAATGGGATGATTTATGGTTGACACATGTCTGTCAAGATCTTTCCTCAAAGGACGATATTCTTCGCAAAAACATCGGTGCATTCATCCTTCAACCGTTATTTAAAGCAAGTCCATCATCGTTTTGGAGAATTATCGATATTCTTCAAGATGACAAGTCTAGAAATGATTTTATAAGTGACGAACAATATAGGCTAAATGCCCTGATCATGGTCATAAAAGTGGGTAGATCGTTGGATTTGGTTGATGGGAATACATTCATTGAAAGTAAGATAGGTTCATATTTTGTTATATTTCTAATTTCTTTTTGAGATTTATTAATTAAATTAAAAATTTCCCAGATTCTATTGAAGGGAACCAAAGGAAGATTCGATTACAACCTCTCCATGATGCTATTTATCATTTGGATTTAAATATTCGAATTGATGCACTTGGTTTAATTTGTGAGTCAAGAAAATCAACTAACGAAATTACTACAACTGAAATTGATCATCTTAAATCTTTTTTTAAATTGAACCTTAATTCAACATCTCCAGAGTTTAGACAAAAACTTTTTGGTCACTTGAATAAATTCTTCACGAGACTTAGAAGTAATTTATATAGTCAATGGAAAGATTATCAATCTCAAATGAGATATGTGAAGAGTCATCATGGTTCGAAAATACAAGATGCAGGATTAGAAGCAAATCAACTAAAACAAAAGATTGATAATTCTCAAGTATTTTTGAATTGGCTTATAGAATTATTAGCAGCTTCTCTTTATCCAGGGTCGTCATTTCAAAGAGTTTCTAGTACACTTAGGATATTTATTATTTTAATTAAAGTGTTTGGCATTAAGGAAACCCCATTGCCTGAAGGATTTGTAGCTCAGCATTGCAAGACTCCTACATTTCCATTTCAATTGCCACTTGCTTCAGTGAGAAATACAAAATTAATATTACACTGTCTTATGAATCCTTTTGATGAAAATCGCATGTTAGCATATGAAATTCTTCAGAGCTTTCCTTCTCCATTGCCCGGGATTGAATCAAAAGATGATATTCAAAAAATTTTGCTTTGGGCGCTGCAATCTATGAAAAGTGCCCGAGCTGGTGAAAGTGATAGTGGTGCAATGATTTTTCGATTGGTCTTCTCCAAATATGTTTGGAATTTAGGTCTTTACCTTGACGTTGGAATTGAGAAAAATGAATCATTGGAATACTATAAAGAAGTTAATATACCTTCAAGTAATGAATATTTTTAAAATTTTCGTGTTAATTTTATTTTAAATATGATTAATCCTAACATTTATTTTGCAGTCAATTTCACAAGGAAGCTTCTAATTCTGTTAAAGGAGCAACTTGATATCGCTTCTGGAAATCTATTGCTAGCTTCACAAAAGTATCCAATCCATGGAACTTTACTAGCACTTCATTATGTCTTTAAAGAATTGGATTATGGTTCTTTAGGATTAAAAAATAATTTGGAAGAATGGCGAAATATTCATAATTATGCAATTGATTTGATTAATGAGAGTTGTCAAATAGTATTGGACGTTTTATCAAATTCTTCGCCAGAAGGTAATTTACCGGCGTCATTTCAAGAGATGGAAGAAACGATTGATGAATTGATATTAACTTCAGGCGAAGATTTCGATAGTGAAGGAGGTCCAAACCATCAAGTCATTCTTAGTTTTTGTTGGAGGGCTGTGAAAGAGGCAAGGTTCGTGTGTATATAATATATCTATTTAATTTTTTTTATGTTTGTAATAATCAGTGAAAATTTTGTAGTTCTCTTCTTGCCATAATTTTATCGAGAGCTCCAATAGCCGTTAATTTGGAAAATAGCGTATGTATAGGAGCTACGCCACGTACTTTGATAACATTTTATATACGCTATATTGATTTTATTTATTTTTTTTCTGTATTAGTTTTCTATACTCAATTATGAGAAAGTACGTAAAGGTGGCGAATTGTTTCGAACACTGTTGACATCTATACGTCACCGAGGCGCATTTTCTGCGGTATATCCTGGTTACGTAGCTGTTTGTGCTCGACTTCTAAATTCATCGCAAGTTAAATTTGTAGAATTACCAAAAATATGGCTAGAGGTATAGATAAAATTTTTCCAACCTTTTTTGAAAAATTTCTACATAAACATTGATGATCTCTTTTGAATTAGAATAGCTTCAGTAACATCAATACCAATTCAATTTCAATTACACGTAGAAGTGCAGGACTTCCGTTATGTATTTTAGCTATTGTCAGTAGCGAACCTAAAAACTGTAAAGTTTTGCTTCCTTGGAATATGAAAGCTCTTATTGAGATAGGATCACAAGCTCCTTCGGAGGATTTTAATCAAACTATTGATTTGCCTCAGGTTCATGCTTTTAATATCTTGAGAACGATTTTCATGGATGCTAAACTTGGAACTGATGTTTTACCATATATTTCTGATGGATTTACTTTGGCAATCAAAGGATTTTCTTCACCAAGGTTTTTAATATGATTTTATAATTTCTTTTATCAAGATATGGTTTAAATAATCATATTTCAATTATATTTTCAGTTGGGCAGTTAGAAATTGCTCAGTTATGCTATTTTCGACTTTATTACAAAGAACATTTGGCACAAAGAAAACAAAGGATGAACATCATTCAATTAATAAATTAACTGGAAGAGAATTTTTTTCAAGATTTCCTCATCTGTATCCATTTTTGTTGGATGAGCTCAAAATTGCTGTAGATCAATTGATTGAATCGACTAAAGTAAATGAATAGAGATGTATAATTGTATGCTTATTACTTATGTTAATGTTGCCTAATTTATATATTTAATAGGTCTTTGTTCATCCAGGTCTTTATCCTATCCTTACTCTCTTATCAAGACTTCATCCTTTAATGGATGACTCTAATTCTTTATTGACCATGAGCCCATTTGTATCTTTGGTTTTATCTTGTGTTTATTCACCATTCTACAAGGTATTTTGGTAGAAAGTTTTTTAATTATAATACAATTCATTTTACATATATTAAACGCTCATCCTTTTTTTTTAAGACAAGAGAAATGGCAGCAAGAGCAATTGTTCCACTAATTCCATCCAATGATCTCTTAGTAACTTGTATTAATTTGCTAAATGAGGCTTCTATGTCTAATCAGAATGAATTGCACGGAAGATTAGTTCAGGTTCAATATTTGATGCGCGGACATTTACGTGGAAATGTCGCTAATTTTGACATTATGAAAGGTAATTTATATGTTACGAAGCTATTTTTTTAAAATTTATAATCGGATCTTTTATTAAATTTTATCAACAAATTAAAGATGTTATAATTAAAATGGCTCCGGTCTTTTGGTCCAAGATTCGTTTTGCATCTAGAGAAAATTCTTGCAACGTTACAAGATATTTATTTTTAGATATATTGTACGAATTTGTATTTAACAGTAATTGGATCTTTATTGAGCAAGATAAACGTTTAGGTAATTAACATCTCTGCATTTTTTCGCATTATGATATTATTATGGGTTAACTTTCGCAATTATATATAACAGAGTTATTAGGATTGATGGATGATAAATTTTCGGAAATAAGACAGTTCTTATTTGACATGTCTTTGTGTGATTTGCCTAACACGAGTCGAAATACAGACTTTTGCAAAGTTGGTTGTCATCTTGTACGTCAGCAGATGGCAAGAATTATAATAAGATCCCTTCTTAGTCAAGAAAGTCCCGAACACACGTCAATAATTATTGATATTTTAAGTGATTCGGAATATGAAGTGAGGCTCGTTTGTTTGGAAATGCTTATTGATTTCTTCAATTCTTCAAGCGATAATAAGGAAATTTGGTAGGTCATTGATTAAACTATTGTAGCCTAGAGTTCAGTTCTTTTATAACTTATTTTAAATTATATAGTGTTGACAAATTAACCCTTCAATACAAGATAATTCAGATGATATTTCGAGAGGAATCCTATCCCAATTGTTTTCGGAAAGCGATTGGGTTACTTACTTTGATAGATTTAGAACACCCATTCCCAAAATTAACTTTTAAAAAATCTTTAAATTTCGGGTTAGAAGAATTTTGGAAAAAATTGTTTAATCACTTGGAGCATTCAAAGAGTTCAACTATAATTGAAGCAATATTACCACTCTTAGGATCTTTATCATCTCAAGTATTTATTATACAAAAACTATTCTTAAATATCTTATAAGTTCTAATACATCGTAACTTAAATAACAGATTTGGCGAGATAATTCATTATCTGATAACTTCAAGTCTGAAAGTCTCAATCAATGGTGTAAATATATTAACAATAATACCAAACCTGAAGTTGTATGTATATGTTGAATTTACGCGTAATATTTACGTATTGTGAGGTTAAATGAAAATTGATTAATCTGAATAGAACTTGATATTACGTGAAGCTACGACAAGTTCTCTGGAATTCTTCAGTCAACATTTATTTAAGGAATCTAAATTTGTAAAAAGTGAGGATATCCAACAGGTTATAACTTTATATTTGGTTTTAGCTCGACTTGCACAGGTGAGTAACGATGCGTAAGCTGTATCGGTCTATTCAATTGTATGTTATAATCTTATATGATTCTTTTATTAGGATGATGATATAGATTTACGTCATTCCGCAGCCTTGATAGTATCAAAAGCAAGTGGATTAAAGGTACATTTATTCAATCCTAAAAAGTCGACAATTAGATGAATATACTTATTAATCATTAGTATCTTCACAAAGGTACCGGTCGATTGTGATCGTGCGCGTGAAATATGTTATGAACATATGACCAAGTTGTATTCGAGGTCGCTTCATTTATATGTAGCGTTACTTCAAACAATTACCGGAAATGAAAAACCTGGTATTTATTTCTTTTTATTAGTTGGTATTATCATGTAATAATTAAACAAATGCGAATTAATCCTCGCAGATGAAATTCTTAAGGCTGAAATGAACCCAACAAGAGTCCTCTTTGCTGTAGAGAATCCAAATATTTATAAAGAAGACTTGATTGATATTCAACTAGCATATAAGCATATGAAGTATGCGTTTAATAAAGAAGGAAATATTTTAGATTTCCCGGATGTTTTTAAACGGGATATTCCAAGGTTTTCGGTTGAACAACTGCGGACAGTCTGTGAATTGTTAAACTATGAGGAAGTAAAGGTTGGTATATAAAAATACGAAGATTCTTTAAAAATATAGGACGATGTTTTACTAAATAATAACTAACACATCTTTATAATTAGAACAAAAATAATGGTGTTTTAGGATTTACTTCGCGTCCTATAACGTTTACTATTGTTTACAGGGTAATCATTATAATATTAGCGATGATGGAGATAGTATCAAACAAACAAGAAGTAATAAAAGGTATGTAAGCCTTTACTCGATTTAATCAAGTTTATCCTTAATTAATCGATTTTCTTTATCATTCCAATCCATTCCAATCCGATTATAAGAAATCGAATGCATAAAACAAAGATTAGTACAAGATAATATTCAATTGCACCCATTATTGAATAATATACTGTTTAAAGATTTTACTCATGATATTGATGAAAAATTTGGGAAAGAATTTGAAAGTGTGTTTCTTTTATCAAATTAATTGAAAGATCATTTTATAGTTCTTTTTTACCTCAAATGATAAGTTTTATAGAAAAAATTTTAAATTAGCCATTTTCTTTGATCACGGTTTGTTAAAAACAAAATTTTTCGCACTTCATCTCCCAGATACTATTCAAATTAAACAAAAATAACACATTATACAATGATTATAATGATTAAAAGGTTCTTTAAATTGATTCATATCTAAATAGATTTTATAATGTTGGTATAAACTGAATTTATTAAGGATATCTCTGCCTTGAAAACTAGTTTCTTGACAGAAAATGTTTTTATTTAACATATATTTAATAGCTATTGTATTATCAAGTGAACTTGTTGCATATATATTATTAGTTAATGTTAATTATTTATTAAGTTAATTTAGTCGGAATATCAACGTTTCTTATTAAGTTTTTTGGCTTTCTTTGCTTCGATTCCCGCTATTTTCTTTTCTTTGATGTACTCATCATCGAATTGATGCTCTATATATCCCTTATACGGGGGCAATACTCGAGTCCAATAGTTAATGTCTGGAATATATGATTTGTGCGCTGTCAAGATTCGGTATACTTTTTGCCGATTTGGGAACCAATGGGCATTGTCAATAAATTTGGCCAGTTTTTCTAATAATAATAAAAAACAAAGTTAGTTCCGTTCGAAGAAATGCTGTATATTTTTTGATAAACGTGTCACGTACCAGGATCCTCAGGGTGCTTTGGTTTATCTGCAAACAAAGTAACGCCTTGCCATGTTCCTGATATGACCATTTCAATTTTTTCTTTGGCTAACGACATATTTGGTTTTTGCAACGATTTAAGTATTTGCCCATACAACTTGTTTCCTCTGAATTTCACTTCTATTAATAAAAGGCCCGCCGCTTCTTCGATATTATCCATCTGCCAGAAAGAAAAACCAATAGCGCCATCTTTTTTGCTTGTATACGTTTTTATTACATCATTGGTTTTCTTTTTCAAAGCATTAGAAACATATTCATTAAAATGAGCAGCAAGCAGTACATCTGCGGTATCGTCTGAGAATGGTTCATAATATTTAGGTGGATCGGCCTCAACGGCTTCACGTCTAACTGAATTTTGTCGCTGTAAGTAAGCTTGCAAGAAAGTTGCCAGTATCACTTTAGAACTGTATTGATCAAAGAAAGCATCGGTAAGAGGCGTTTTGTTCTCTTCAAATTCAAATTCCGGATTATCCAAAAATGATGAATTAGCATTAGAACCTGCAATTATTGACTCAAAAATTTTGTTATATCGCAGCATAACCTCTACGAATCCGGTAACAGATTTTTTAATTTTGGCGATTATACTGAAAGCATGATCTGGAATTTGATATGTATTAGGATCGTATAGAAGCGTTTTGACCGTTGGGGAATTGATCTTCACTTTCGGTTCATCCATTTTTTCGACATCAACATCCATTGGTTCGACATCAACGGAAACTTTATTTAAATCAGCAGAACCACCAAGAGCTTTCGCTTTCTTAAATGCGTCAGCGTAAATAATATTTGCACACTTTTCAGAAGACATAATAGAGTTGATAAATTCTACATAATGTTTTTCGAATTCTTTGACAGGTTCATCGATATAAACACTTTGACTGATTCCCAAGACTTTGGAAATGTCTTCCATCATCGATTCGAGCGCTTGCCATTTGTTCAGTCTTCTACGAATGAACTCTTCAATTAAAATCTTCATTAAACCTTCTTGTAACCATTTTTGCAAATCCTTGACGTCAACATCTCCACATCGCAAAGCACAAAGCAAGTGTCCAAGGAATATTAAATTATTTGACACATGTTCGATTGTTCTGTTTGCTGGAATCTTTATGTAGTTTTCAAAGAGTTTCTTGTTATCCTCGCGAAGAATCTTGGATTGTTTATAAATCACGTCACAAGTTTCCAAAACCCACTTGGCCTGACGTCTCTTAAACTCTGTTGATGTATCGGCAAGTGCTCTGGCCAATACCAAGAATGGAACTGTGGTGATTTGACTATAAGTGTAACCGAAAATATCAAGAGTTACCAAATATCCCATAATAGGCTAAAGGAAGAAAAAATTTTTTTTTGAATGAGCATTTTATTAAATATTCTTTGAAAAAGATTTCAAATGTTCAAATTGCATGACATTTACCTTAATTTTTTCCCGAGCAATTGACCAATGTTTGTCATTGATGTATAATGGAAGAACCCCTGTTATGTATTAAGAAGTTATTCGATCACTTTTAAACTAAATTTAAATTTTTCGTAAATTCAATTGAATAAGAATACAAACCAGTTATATTTTCGCGAGCTAATCCCTGAAGAATACTAGCACTAATATTCCCCCTTTGAAATCCACCATGAACCGATTCGGCAGTATATTTATCAGCCATTGCAAATGTAACTGAATCTAAGAAGGCTCCAGAACTTAAAAGGGACTGAGTTATTTTTTTAATGGTAATTTGAGATGGATCTGCTATGGCAGCTTCGGATCGTTCGACGTCAAGGGTTAAACATATGCACTCGCCCTCTTTCATGGCTTCAATATAATTATCTAATTATACAATCAAGTTATACATTATTAGAAAACGTACAAGCGGATACTGTACATATGTAAGCTTGTATATACCTGTTGTAACCGTGCAGGTATAAGTGGATAAATTTTCTTCGGACTCCTGACTCTCCAATTCATCAAAGTCTAATGTACGAACGATTTCCTCGATTTTCTTTTCAACCTCCTCCATTCTTTCGAGGTTCTTGATGGAACGGTCATCAAGCTTCTTCTTTAATCGTTGCTTTGTGATATTCTTATATGCCAAATTGTTAAAGCTGGCAATCTTTTGGTTTGTTAACGTTCCTTTTAAAGCGCTAAATAGTCCGATAAATCTCGTGAGGTTTATGATTCTTTTTACAATAATATCTTTTTGAGGATGGGAGGAAAGATTGACACTTACTCGGACAATATATCTTTGAATTGTAAAATTGTACCCTTCAATTCCATGCTTTGTTGAATAATTTCACTTCGACTCGCAGACTTTGTTTTGAAAGCGGTATTTAAAATATTGTTTAATTGTTCATCATAATTGTTTGATTCCTCCAAAATCTCCTTAAAACGCTTGCGTTTTTCCTCTTCAATTTGAATCGTGCAATTGATTATTTCGTTTGTAAGACGCGTAATTTCAAATTGTATATATGGAATCGTTAATAATGTGGCCGTTGGATCATCGGGTTGGATTTGAATTGGGGTAGATTCAAAATCAAACGTTTCATTGCTCTCTTGCTCTTTGAATATCGAAATCTTATGTCCTTCAACTTTAGCGGCATCACCAGTGAGAACCAATTTACCATGACCTTCGTTATCGAATTCGATGGGCAAGAGTTCACGCTCTCCCAACTTCATATACAGAGTGCGATCACCTAATTCCAACAACTCTAACGTAGTTTTCATCGTTGATTTGATTTCACCTGAAGATTTCACATATTGAAAGTTTCCTTGTTTTGTACCAAGTTTCGTTAACCATGAAAGGAGGGCTAATGTAAATTCGCGTTAGAAGTGATCACGTTAAAAAATAAAATTTTTTTTTTTTTAAATAGTATCATGATCATGAATTTACCGGCATCATGACTTCCGGTGAATCCAATCGTGTGAATTTCTGTATTGAATCCAGTATGGGATAACGCGACTTCGAGATCCTGTTTGCAATCGTCAGTATAATAGCCTTGTCCATCAGTAAAGAAGATGATGGCCAAATCCGAATTGACATCGTTCACTTGTTCCACAATCATTTGAAATACAGGATCAAAATTCGTTCCTTTAATAATAATAAAAAAAAAAAAAAAAGTCATTTTTGACAAACGATATAAAAATGAATTTTCCAAGAAGCATGATCTGAAACGAATTAATTACCTCCATAAGCATTGATACCATCAAAATAATTTTTAATGGCACCATTGCTCCATAATAGGCTTCGATCGTCGGCAAACCTTTTAACTTCACATTCTGATTGAAAGAAAAAACATGTGACGTTTTCTTCGGTAAGCATACTTTTTTCAAATAGGGATTCCATTAAATTGAGGATGGATTCCTTGGCCTGATTCAACCCGGATCCAGCCATCGAACCTATATGAATTGAATTGAAACACGGGTAAAAAATGACGAACGTGGGAGGAAAAATATACGGGATGTACAAATCTTCAATTACCAGAGATATCCAGGACGATATATAGTACGAACTCTCGCCTCTTTCCTTCGAACCATTTAGATATTATATTTTCAGGTACTTTGAGGGATAAGACACTTTTATCGTTAGCCAAATTAAGATATTTCGCTTCTGACGTTTGAATATCCATGACCAATTTTATTTAATTAATTAAATAAGTAAAATGTGATTTTTATTTTTGATTTTGGGAAAAAGGGGGGTGAGATAAATCTAACGAAAACGATTATCCTTATATAAACATTTGAAAAAAGTTAATGGCTGCGCATAATTATAACGTTATCGTGAGAACAAAATACTGCGGATAATGGAATCAATTAAGGTCGAACGCCCATGTAATACATGGTGGTTTTATTATTGAGCGCAATAATGCTGCGTTTAATCTTGCCTTCAAAAAGGGTAGCTCAAAAAGGGCGTTTTTTCCTCTTACATGATCTAACGCTAATGTCTGTGCTTCACACAATGTTTATATTAAATATATTCTCAATATTTATTTATTTATTGCAACTTTTCAAATTTATGGTAAGAAGGGAAAGTTTTGAACCTTAAAAAAAAAAAAATTGTGTCATATGACATTTTTTTTTTTGAAAAGGAGAACGTTTACCTTTGATTAAACCAATCCCTGGAATGTACCGATTTTACTTTTTTTAGTTAAAATAAAAATTCTTGGCATTAGGGTTGATGATTTTCTGGAAGATTGTTTTTAATAAAAATCTATTTTTAAGCAAATATTTTGGGCTTGGTCATCAAAAATAGCCGAAATTTCTTTGGATGATTAAATTTTCAAATAATAGAAAATTAATTTTTTAATTTAACCCCTTGGATGAAACTTCCAAAATAGTTCAAAAAAAAAAAAGTTTTCGGTTTTGGCCCTTACGGATCGCAACAGTTCATTTGAAAATTATTTCCTTTTTATTATTCCCTTTTACTAACAAATAGGAAAATTTGGTTAATTATAGATAACAACAATAAAAAAAGATTCCCTTTTTTCTTTACTTTTGGCCAATAAAGGAGCTTACTAATACTGGAAAGGTTAAAATAAATTAACTGTAGAAATGTAATTAGCCTAGACCCGTTTTTAACAATTTTTATATATATACGTGAAGTACACATAAGAAAGTCAAACCGCTCGCTTTTTTAAGGACTTTTATTTTTTGTTTATAAATAAATAAATAAATAAATAATAAATCAACTAATTAAAAAATTAAATAATATAAAATGAAACTCAAGAGAAATCAATCGGTAATGATATTATTGGTCGTACTAGTAACTCTTTTAATCACAGTTAGTACAGCAAATCCAATATCATTAAATAAACGACAAGGTCCTGGCGGCGAATCTAAAACTCCGCCTGCGCCATCAGATGGCAAGGCTCCGTCAGATGGTAAGGCTCCCGAAACACCACCATCAGACGGTAAGGCTCCCGAAACACCACCATCAGACGGTAAGGCTCCCGATACACCACCATCAGATGGAAAGACACCCGATACACCACCATCAGATGGAAAGACACCCGATACACCACCATCAGGTGGAAAAACACCCGAGACTCCGCCGTCAGGTGGAAAGACACCCGAGACTCCGCCGTCAGATGGAAAGACACCCGAGACTCCGCCATCAGATGGCAAGACTCCCAACGCACCTCCATCAGATGGAAAGACGCCCGAAACACCTCCGTCAAATGGCAAAACTCCCGACACGCCATCAGGTGGCAAGTCTCCCGCTCCAGATGTAACTATCAACCCATCTGATATAGGAACCCCCACAGCGTAAGATGATTTTTTTTATAAAACAAAAAAAGGAATAACTTTCAAAGATATTCACATATTTTATTTATCAATGTAGTGGAAAACCCCCAGTTGATACAACAATATTACCAGACGTGACTATAACTCCAACACCTACATTCCCTTCAAAAAATGATGATTCAAAAGACAAACACAAGCACATAACAAGATTCACAACATATATTACTTCGTACTACTCAGTAATACCAGGCTCAACCAAACTTATTACCACAACAAACGAAGCCGGTGAACCCACCACTCTCGCTACGTATGTTCCTCCATCAACCGTTTTGGTGGTTCAACAAGTGGTATCACCAATTTCGGAATCGGAAGATACTGATGGAAGCGGTAATATGTTGAACGTACAAGGTTTATGGGGAATTGGAATGAGCATAACGGTGGTTTGTTTTAGCATGTTTTATATGGTGCTTGCATAATATCGATTACGGTGAATCTTGATTTTTTAAAAAAAAAAAACACTTTTTTTTCAAGTTATTAATTGTTTTAGTATAATTTAGTATAATATTTATTTTTGTTTGTCTAATTAACTTTTTATTCAAAGTTGTTCTAAATTAGAAAATTTTGTTAATTCCTTTTATGTATATACGAATAACTAGTTTAGTTTAATTCATTGGTGAACTTTGAAAAATTTTCCTAAGTTAATGATCCACAGGATTATTGACAACAAAATAACAAAAGCATCCTAGTTTTCAAATTATTCCATAATTTTTCACAAATCGTATTCAAAGAACTAAATATATCATCATCATCATCATCATCATTATAATTTTCTAATAAAGTTTGATCATCATCATGAAGCTGCACGTTATTTTTACCAGTAGGTAATATATATACTCAACGAATTGAAGTTACCAATAAATTAATTCATCAACAAAATCCTCATTGACCATTACCAATCAAGACAAGCAAACCTTTGGTATCCAAATATGAAATTGTCCAACAAATAACTCCAAATAACACGTAGTATTTCTTAGATATCTTGTACTATTTCTTTTGAGGAATGATTGATCTTTTATCTCTGTCAAAATAGGATTAACAGAGTACATATCGTATAATGAACGATATTTTATCTAATACTGCGCTCCTTTTGACATCATATCTCACCTAATGAAAGGAGGATGTTCTATCTTATTTAGAGAGAGTAGAGGGAGAAACGGGGGAAAAGATAAAATTATTAATTTAATAAAATAAGTAATGGAAATTATCGTGGTAATATAGATTTTTCTTTTTAGTATTGAAAACCCGTTTCGTTTAATCTTAATTTGATAAGACCAAATGAAGTAATTTGTACGATATTATTATGCTGCGAACCTAATTAAGCCAATTATGTTTTCGAGTAAAATCTTTGTTTATCATTTCCATTTATTATTTCCCGAGTGCAACAGGTTAAAACAACAAAAAATTTTAGTTGTTAAAGTAACATAGTAAGGTTATTTTAGAATGTATATTAATACCTTACTTAAAAGACTTCTTCTTCTTTCCCTGCTCGTTTACCCAGGTAACGTATTCGCTTAGAGAATTTTATTGGTTTACACAAAACTAACTTTTTTTTTTTTAATACAAAATACAATTCTTCTCGCGCGAATACCTAAATCGTTTTCGCGTAATTTCGCGTTATCCTTACCCTCTGCGTAATATATAGTTTTGTCAATTGATTTGGCGGATGAAGCTTTAGAACCATATATTTATGATAAATTATCACCAATAGCTTGTGCTCGTTCATTAAATTCAACCAGTGTAATAGGATGTCAATGTAAGTAACTTTACGTTGATTTTATTGAATTTTTTGGATCAAATTATTTATAACTCGTAAAAAATCTTCTTCTAAAGCCTTAACTTCGAGAAATGGAATATTGTTATTAACTAAAACGCAAGAATCATTAGATGATTTTATAAATTCAAATCGACAAGGAAAATATATTGTAATCCTTCCATACGAATTAATGACAAAGTAAGTCGTCAGACACAATCTATTATTACGAAATCGATTGAATTTTAAAAATCACATCAATTTCTTTTGGAACCCGAATTTTTTTAGCAATAATTTAAGATTGCTAGAATCGTCAGGAAGGATGTCATGTGTACTAGCATTAATAAACGGTACAGATCCAAATTCGCCAGATTCTTCTCCTATAATACCTCGACCAATTGATTTCTCTCCAGATGAAAAATGCCCAAATTGTCAATTTGATTTATACAGAAATGATCAAAGTAGGTATCAATGGAACCCAAATGTAAGTTAATTGATTTGAAATTTCATTTTTAAGAAACCTTGTAGAGAGAAAGAGGAGATTTAAAATGTTTTTGTTTTTTCCGGTAGGGAATGGAAATTCTTCAAGAAAGTTATGAATTTCCTATATTTGCATTATACCCTTATGATAATTCATCCACGCTCACTTATGAAGGAATTATAAAGGTATTTCACTCCTTAAATTTTGTATTAAGTCGGTACATATTTTCTAACTTAACTTTTCTTTAGGGAGCGGAATTTAACGAAAAAAATTTATTTGAAAATTTTCCATTAAAAGCTGCAGAACTAAAATCTATAATGTTTTCTGCTATAGATGCATCTACATGTTTACGAAGAAGTATATTTTTAATAATATTATAATTTTGTTTTTATCTCATTTTAAGCATATATTTTTAACATTACTTTTCTTTTTAAAAAAAAAAGATTGGTGTTATCCCATCGGAGGGCATTCAGTTTATTCAACTCCATCATTTGATATGAATGAAAATGATGGCAAACCTATTATTATAGTTTCAGCTGCTATGGATAGCAAATCATTATTTCGAGATATTACATTTGGACTAAATAATGGTATTTCCGGTTCAATCGCTTTATTAGCCATAGCGGATGCACTACAAAAGGTATGCTAACTTTATTTTTTCATTTAATAAAGTTTAAAAATATATATTAATTGAATATATTCATTTGATTTTAAAAGTCCCCGATACCAGTTAAAGATTTTAAAAAGCATATACTATTTACATTATTTTCTGGAGAATCATGGGGGTTTTCGGGATCGCAAAGATTCGTTAAAGATATTTTTGAACTATTTGACTGTAAACTAAATAGTACAAAGCCAACAGAAGCTTGTGGTTATGATACTGGACGATTCGGTGGATGTACTTTTCCTTGTTTTGAAGATGTAGATTTTAAAAAAATAAATTTTAATCAGATCGATTCTATATTTGAATTAAGTAGCGTAGGAGCAAAAGGTGCACAAGAATTAAAGTATTTCGTACATGTTGATGATGAGAATAATGAACAAAATAAATTATTGATTCAAGGATTAGGAAAGTTGTCGGCTGGTGGAGAGAAGGGTGGTGTTGGGTTTGTCAGAAGTGCTAGTGAGGATGGCGTAATTAGAAAATTACCACCTAGTAGTTCTATGGCTTTTTTGGAAAAAAACAGAAATATACCAGCCGTGGTAATTAGTGATTTTCAAGCGAGTTTAAGCAAGTAAGTCGAGTATCTCGAGGATTGTCAATTTATTTGAACGATAATCACTTATCTCTTTCTTGAATTTGTAGTTATAATAGTGAATATGACGATATAAATGTTCTAGATGTCCAAAGTATTACAACTTCAATTTGTTCCATATCCAATGTAATATCACATGCTATATGGTTACATGCTCAAGATTTATTAAGTTCAGCCAATGTAAATGTCCCTATTGCTGTTAATTGTACGTTAGTCGGAGAATTACTAAATTGCTTAACTGTAAATTATTCTTGTCCTTTACTCAATTCTTTTTATAATGATAGTGGTAAGTGTTATATGTCTCTAATTTTATATTTTAATTTTTTTTTTTTTTTAAAAAATATTTCTTACTTAATGATTAAATAATATTAGTTACGGAACTTGACAGAATATCTCATTCTACAGGAATGTTTCAATATTCGAGTCCGTCACTTTTATCGTTATTTCATTATAATTTTTTGGGAAAATTAAATGCTGTTCCAAGTGATATTAATACTGATTGTGCTAACAATATTGACAACGCTGTCGATGGAAATGGTTGTTGTGAAAGTCACGTTGATTGTAAGGTATGTCTTGACCTATTCTTTATAATGTGTGTAGGGTTATAGGGAGAAAATTAATAATACATTTTGGAAACAAAATGTATTCTTAATCTTCTCCCTATAATATTGTTGAAATTTTATTAATTTAAATGTTCTCTTTTTTTGGTGGGATACAGTTTGGAGAAAGATGTATAAACTATACATGCATGAATTCTTTTACAAGGTTTCATAATTCTTATGGTATCGGGTTAGAATTTAATGACAAAGGTAATGTAATTGTTGTAGATCCTGAAAAAGCTACATGGGTTCAAAGTCTGTAAGTATTTCAATTACTTATATATTGATGCTTGTTATTTTTTTTTTTTTTTTTTTTTTTTAAAAAGAAGGTAATTTGAATACTCATTAGTATTTTTTTATTCATATTAATTTCCTTGGAAAATTTGAATAGTTCGGTGGATTTTAGTTTAAGGTTGTTTACTATAACTTCGATTGGATCACAAATTGGTGAATTGATATTCGGGATAATATTCACTACATTTGGTGTCATTGGTGTATTATTAGTTAAATCATATTTAAGAAAAACTTTGAAAATTGATTAAATATAATGGACACCTTTAAGAGATATATTTTGTGTCGGAAGATTTTTATATATCGATATAGTATTTTGTAATGTAATTTAGATTTTAACTTAAAACGTAATTATTATAATTTTTTATTTATTTATTTAATTTAGGATACCTTTTTTTAGCAATAGATTTTTTGATATTTTACAAGTTTTCAAAAAATAATTTATGTTTTATATCATGAAAGAATAATAAGGAATTCGTATATACAGTGGTGTGCAAAAAAAATGAACTTTTTTAAAATCACGATAGGTTCACAAGTATTGCGTCAATTAAAATGTTTAATGCGTCATTTTAAAGCTGAGAAGTAGTAAATTTATTAAAAAAAAAATTAATATGATATTCGTTCACCATTTTTTTCAAT